TATTTTATCCAATTTTGTTGTGTTAGCTATGAATATGGAAAGACAAGGTAAGAAGAATGTTTCTAAGAAGCGTTCTGGTGATCGAATTGCCAATGATGAATGTAAAAGAGGTTTACAAGAGCGCAACTCGCGTTGTAGCCCGCGCCATCCTAGCGACTGCCTGGGCTGTTATTGTGTGCTTTTTTGGGTGGTGCTACCACCTGTCGAGTCAAGATAATGGCCTCTACCTCTACTGGAGGTCCTACAGGTGCTGGTGGGGTGGGACAGACTCACCTAAGCGGCCAAATACGGAAAAGGAGAAGCAGGACTTATCATAAGGGAGTTAAGTTTGCCAAGTACTCGATGCGGGATAAGCAGCGTGTGATTAAATTACTCGAGGAAGGCCTAAAAACTAGTTCCGGAAAGCACAATCAAGTCAATAAAGGCAGAATTTGTATCATTTGGAGGTTATAAATGGAAAAGTTAGAGGTTGATGTAGAGTGGCCAGTCTATATTGTTATTTTTCTCATTAGTTTATGTATTTGCATTTGGTGAATTTGAATTTGGCGCAATTTTTCCAGTCTATTACTCGTGAAATACAAGATCTTACTGTATTCTAATTTTCAGTTTGTATTTTATTGTACTATTTATAACTTATATAAAACTACAGTATTTGTAAATTGAATTACACTATTTTCTCAATATTAGATAAAGATTTAAGAATTTTACTCTGTTGCTTGTTTTTTTTTGTTCGAGTGTGACAGTCAAATGAAATGCTGGTATGAAATAACTTCATAACTTTATGTTTGGGAACAAGAGAGGGGAAATATCTACCATGGTATATGTTTGTCAATGTTTAATCATATCACTTTCATAATAAACAGCTTGTCATGTTCAGGCAAGATATTTTTCTAAGTACATACATAGCCATCCATTTCTTGCTCCCCATTCACTGATACCCTTTTTTCTGTAAAGATTACTATACATGACTAGTCAAATTTTTCTTTTGCAGTGAGAGATCTTGCATAGAGATCCTTATATTTTTACAACTGGCCAATATTTCCCCATGCTTTGTGATTCTCTCCTTGCACCTTTTCCCTCTAAATGCTATGTTATAAAGACTTTTGTGAGAAATAGGAATAGAGTAGCTTGTGAAGAGAACTCCAGTTAGATTCTATGAGGGTGGGGCACCTATTGGTAGGAGCAAGGTGTTAAAGCTTTCCTATTTTTTGTGTTTTATAATTAGCAATTTACAGTATAACAAATTTAACCTCCAGTAGTAGAGACTGCGAATGTAAACATGTGTTTACATCCATCCATCTCCCACTGACACATTTGATTATTTTCACTCTTTCTCCTTCCCTCTATATACAGTATTATAGAAGTACAGTGATGGTATCCTTCATACAAAAATAAACAAATTAAAAAGTTTGTCTTTTAACATGCTGATGTGAAACCCTGTCTTAAAGTTTTGAACAAAGTCAATAAGGGAAAGGAGGTGCTCTTGTTGGATAATGTTCAGTTCAGTACTTTATGATACCTGTAGCTTATAATCACATCCTTCATTGGTGACCCATCATAGAGCCACCCTTAACCTGTGATGTAACCCGTAGAACACCTTGAGAAAAAGGCTAGTTGTTGAAATTGATGTTTCCTTCTAGCTATTACCAGAGCCATAAAAAGGGATCACCAAGAAGTAGGTGTTCATCATTAAATATAGGTCTAGTGAGTCAAGCTCTTCATGCATGTACCACATCACCATACTTACTCATTAGGCCAACACATGGGAAAGCAGGACCAACCAGCATGATCCTAGCCACAAAGTTGCTCAGGTTGGGCATTTATCATTTACTAACACCCTGACTGGTCCTTATTGTGCACTAATTTCTCAATTTTCAGGTAGCCAAGTGAAATTTTCAACCCTTCTAGCATTGTTGGAAGTCTGAAATTGTGGCTTGTCACACCATCTTTATCTTTTCTTAAAGGTATCATATTGCAAGAGTTTGAATTTATTTAACCCCTAACTGGTTAACCCTTTCCTGTGGATTGTTACACTTCAGAATCACCATTACATACACCCTTACTTTACCAAGTATTGCCAGGTAAAATTGTGAGTACGAGAACCAGGGTGGGGTCAGTGCATCTTTGGTTGACTGTACATATCAATAACCTTTTCAATACTAAAGTTCTCAATACAGTACCAGATATTCCCAGATTAATCCTCTAATTACTGGATTAATTTGTGGAAGCCTTATCCTTTATTGGGAGGATTTCCTTAAAGGGAGGGTTTTCATTGTGTCCTGGTATATACATAAAAAAAAAAATTAAATTCACACATCATTTCCAATCATAAAAATGTACATCTAATATAGTAACTGTAGATTACTGTATTGTACAGTATTGTATATGGGAATTGGACTTGTCTTTTATTTTGGGGTTTCAGTACATTATGCTAGCCTGGCTCACGTGATGCTCCCTCCTCCTGTGCCAGGCATAGACACAGTGAATTGGTTATTGTCATCTTCCTCTGCTAGAAAGGCATTCACAGGGCTACCTTTCTTTTTTTTTAAGTTTTTCAACAATTTCAATCTTTCTTATTACTGAGAAAGACACACTCGTGCCCTTCTTTTGCCAGTTGCTTTTCTTAGGTTCAAATGTCAATGTGGGACATTTAAATCAGGTCAGTGTTGAGTTTTTACTTTGATCATTTGAGACAAAGAACATACTGGGTACTGTATATTTTTTTTTTCATTCACCGATAGTGAGATTTACCAATTATGGGTTAATGACCTTGCCAAGTTTCAATTTCAGTTAATTTATGAGTCTGATAGTTTATCCACTGCATCAAGATGATACTGTACTGTACACCCACCTCTTGTTTTACGCGTGGGTTACGTTCTTGAAAGTCACCGCTTAATTAAAAAATGCGTAAATTAAACATAATTTTCCCATAATAAAACATGTAAATGGTACAGGTTAGGGGAACCATCATATACCGCACAGGATACGAACAGTGCTCTCACTTAAACCAAGCATGTGGCCAACCTCCGATACACGCTTTCCTCTCAGATGGCGGGTGATCACATTTAATTTCACGTCCATTGCGATTGTTTTTCGTGCCTTTTTAGCTTTAGGTGCCCCAGAGGAGGTAGATGGACGTTTTCCAGACATGTTCAATGGGGAAAACAGTGTTTAACACTAAAAAAGTACGTGATGAACACACAATGCAAATGAGAGCACAGAAAAAGTAGTGCTGGTGTAAACTGAGAAAGCGAAGCTTGCTGGACGTCGTCACAGCTGTTGTACAGAATACTTCATTATAATCTTTATATTCATCATTAGTAGTAATAATCTTTATTATTACATTATTATAGTAATTATTATTATTATTAATAATAATATTAAAATCGTTGATGTTGATATGACTGCAACTTTATAGTAACTTACAAGCACCTCGCCAGGCATCACACGTGACTCCACTGCCAGGCGACCAGGCGAATATGCTCGGCAAATTTAGACTGTCTCGACGGCGTTATTTAAAAAATAGGTGCGCGTAAATTAGCTTTTGGTATTAATTGAACAATGTCATTATTCCAAAAATGCTTAAATAAAAAATGCGAGTTACCTGTATATTGGTTCATGGTAATTCAGTCCTTTGAAAGGCAGTTTCTTAATCTGTTAGCAATAAAATACCATGGTGAATGTGTTTTGTAGTGTACAGTACAGCGTATTACAATTCCCGTACTGTGCGTAGTAAAAGTTCTTGTACTGTACCTTTATTTTGAATTTCCCATTTTCTTTCTTGGGTTTTGCATTGATTCTGGCTGGCAAGCCACACTGGCAACATGCAAGAAGCCAACCTGGGGTTACCACATGGTCATACATTACAAAGGGTATATGTATTTTTATATGCTGAGTTACGCTGCAAGATCACAGTTGCTGGCGGGTAGTAACAACCACAATCAACAATAATCTCACCTCACACATGCACCAATAAGGTCAGTTATTTGCTTTTGTGCATTTTATTTCTATAACCTTTCAACTATGTTGTTATGATGTTTAGATTTTTCTCAATATTTTGCATTTTACACCAATTCACGACACTTGCAGCATCATACTGTACTGTAGTAATTCTGGTTAGTTTACTTATTTTTTCCATAGAAGTCTTTATATGTTGTTTGGTTATACAGTCATCCCTTGGTTATTACGCCTAATTGGGTCCGCGCTGAGTGCGTGATAACGAAAAACTCGATAACGAAAGTACAGAACCTATGGGATTTATTCTAATTGGTTCCAGGCACCCAAGACCCAACCCCAATTTTCCCATTTTACGACCATTTAAGGCCCACTAAAGATATAGATAATGTTATGGTAAGTATCAGAAACACACATAGGCATGGCTAGGTTTATTACAAAGTGATGAAAAGGGTACAATAAGGAAGAATGCATTTGTTACTGGGTACGTTACTGTACTTACAGACTTGAGCTGGTCTTGAAGGAAGGGATTCCGAGGCTAGAGGGTAGACAGTTAGTGGTCCCCACCCGGCACTAACACTTCGAGTAACTCGTCATCCTCTTGAAAATCCTCAAAGTCAGCTTGAGGTAGAACAGGTGGCTGAGGTGGCTGTTGTTGTTGGCGAAAGAAGTCCGTAATTTGTCTCTGCCGCAATGCGTTGTGGTGATGGTTTAGCTGGTCAACATAAGGCTGGAGTGCTCTGCCTATGATACCGGACACACTTTCACTGTCGCCGGCTGGGGGAGGGTGCTGTTCGATGAGGTGTTTCAACCGTTCACTCAACTCATTGATCTTTCTGACTTTTGACATGGGCTGTCTTCTCTATTCCGTCTGTCTTCCTCTGCCTGCCTGTCTTCCTTCATAATATCCTCAGCTGTAGGCATAACAGGTTCCAACATAGCCCGTATGTCGTCTTCGTCCTGCCACACGCCTTGCCTCCTCTGCCGCCAACTCAACCTCTGCCTGGACAGACTGCGGTTCCCCTGGCACTTCCTGTTGTTGGTCCTCAGGCAAACCCTCTTAACACATTTCTCCGGGCGTGGTTTACGGTCGCTGGCGTCACTGCATCCCAACACTCAACCATTAAGTCGATCGCTTCCTTGACGTTAAATGCCCGCCAGTACTGCTTGACTTGCTGCTCTGCCTCTGTTTCTACGTCCCCCCCTCCCTCCTCCTCCTCTTGGTCCTCCCCTTCCTCACTGTCGACCAGCATCTGCACAGCATTTTCATCCTCAGTTGCAAAGCGCATCCTCCTGAATTGTTTACAGGAGTAAGCAGCCTTGACACACGAGACTATTTCCATGTCCATCGGCTGGATGAGAGATGTCGTATTAGGGGGTAGAAATTCCACTCGTATGTTCGGATGTGCTGATCGTAGTAGAGGAGAATGGCCAGGAGCATTATCTAGCAACAAGAGAATGTTGAAGCAGATGTTTTGTGCCTCACAAAAGGCCCGGACCTCGGGAACGAAGAAGTTGTTAAACCAATCCACTGACAGCTTCCCCGACATCCAGGCCTTCTTGCTTGTAAGCCAGTTCACATTAAGCCTCGTCATATCTTGTCGTTTGTAGGCTCTGGGCTTCTTTGCTCGATGGATAACTGTCAGTTTCATCCTGCATGATCCCGTAGCATTAGTGGTGAACAAGACGGTGAAACGCTCCTTAATTTCCTTCCTGCCGCGGACCTTGGCTGACGACTTGGTGATGAATGTCCTCTTAGGCATGACCTACCAATTGAACCCCTTCTTGTCCATATTAAAGATTTGGTCCTGGTTATACTGGCCCGTTGCGATGATGTCCCGTAGGATTTGAGGATATACCCTGGCACTGACACGGTCGCCACTTGCAACCTCACCCAAAATTTTCACATTCCTCACTTGGTGTCGTGACTTGAAGTTCTTGATCCAACCATTAGAAGCGTTGAATGCAAGTGGGTTTGCCACTTCCCACTTCCTAGCGAGCTTCTGGTAAAGTTGTTTGGTGGTATCCATCAGATCTCTGGTCTCAACGGCCATGTTTCTTCTTCCTTGCTTCTGAACATACCATACCAAAAGTTGTTCAGTCTTCGTCAGCAACTGATTAGGACTCCTTCATCTTGTATATCCCCCTAATTGTGGACTCATTGATGCCGTAAGTGAGGGCCACTGCTCGCTTCGATTTGCCGCCATCAATTTGCTTCACCACCTCCAATTTCTCGGCGTATGTCAGCGACTTCCTCTTCTTTATTTGCCTCTGAGTGGCAGGTCCAGGCATGGGGGCTGGTGGTGGGGGCATGTTGGGAGGGGCCTCAGCCATCACGGACAACAATAGGGTACACACAAAAAGAGTAATCCTTGGTTCCCGTGCACAAGCCACGGTTATCACGACTGCGGGGAGCCGGGGTGGAGGGACACTTTCTGAAACTCCCCTTCTACCCCAGCTGTGGTGGTGCTGGCCAATAAAAAACGAGCTTTGATGGCTGAAAAATCCCGGCCAATGAAAACAGCTCACTCGTGTGATGACGTCAAGGGCTGATGCGCAGTTCGACGCGTGAGCGAGGCATGTGTGAGTGCTTGTGTATGTACAACCGCTTTCAAGTTTTGTTGCCTCCATCCATTTTCATCCAGGAAATGTGTTATTGTCAATTTGTAGGTGAAAGATTTTATCCTCAATAGATGTAGGTGAAGCAAGGGGGTAACAATACACCTGGAGGCAACTGCGTGATAACTAAATTCTCGGCCTGAAAAATGGGCTATAACAGCAAGTGTGCAGATTTTGATGGAGGCGTGATAACGAAAATCGCAATAACCAAGTGCACTATAACCAAGGGATGACTGTACTGTACTTTGTTGTTATTTTCAACCACACAAGAGGTTAATAATCATCCTCAAAGGGCTAAGCACTAAGTTGTTTATACTTTCTCATCTCGATGATTGAATATACTGGTTCAGGTAGATGGATGTTCACTGGTAGAATGCTAGGCCCACATATAATCAGTGGTGTAGTGGAAGAGGAATGGCATTCCCTCCCTTTTTTTTCTGTGACATCTTGGCACTTTTTAATATCTTTTTATATGCATAAGTTCCACTCTATTCTCCAATGCAGAGTAGGGGGCCAACAGGCTTATCCATCTCCCCCAATCCCCTTCCTATGACCAGTGAGGAGCTATCAAACTGTGGGCCAGAGACATACAGGCTACAGCTGCTAGCTAGGTACAGTAGTAACACACGGGCAGCAACAACATGTGCATGCTCATTCATGCACTTTTAGTTGTATCACTTTGTAAAGAAAAGATGAAGATTAAAAACATATTTGTTAATTAAAATTATAAATATAAAGCAGCGTTTCACCACAATCACCTGTGACCTGCATTAACTAACCATATTTTGTCTGAAAAATAAACTCCAGCAAACATTGCTTGTCAAATAATCTTATAGTACTTGACTGCATTAACATTAAAAACTTGATTCAACAGAGGTTTATAAATCTTAAAAATTATTATATGTATTATAAGAATTTAATGCAACGGTTATCGGCAAAAGGTTCACTTCTTAAAGTATTTCCTTCTCCCACTATTATGTATCAGCAGCAAGGAAGTGCAGGGGCATCTTTGCCAGGAAAATTTAAATGGACTTTCGTAGAATGTGGCAGCTGTGATCAGGAGGTCAGTGCGTGGCTGTTGCCCATCTGGTCAGTGTTTTTGCATCTGATTACTGGTACTCAATTATAGGTGAGTTGCATAATTCTTATTAGTTGTCTTAGAGACATCTATTTGAATATCACCGAGGCTGGTAATTGTGACTAAATTTAAATTTTTTTTATGTTGCTTCAGGGCAGACTTTTCTCCTGCACACTGTAACTATACACTAAAGTTGCCTATTATGTTATTTGAAGCACAAAGCAATGCTTCAAAAAGCATAGGGTAGATTCTTAATACAGTATACACTGTACAGTGGTCCCTTGGTTAACGAGCGCCTCGGTTAACGAGATTTCGGTAAACAAGTTACCTTCCATAAGATTCTTTACTTCGGTTAACAAGCAATCCCTCGATTAACGAGTTTCTTACGAGCCGACCTCAACATGTTTTCGCTTGCATTTGGCGGTCCACTAGCTGTAGTATTAGTCCGCCAATACAGTAATCGGTTCTAGGGCTTATATTCCTTCCATTTTAGTAAATATCAAGAAATTTATACTATTCAATACTTTTAAAAGTTTAATATTAAATTTTTTAGTCATTTTAACAATTATTGAACATAATTGAAGGTAATGAAACTAGTTTTATGCGCACCATCCAGCCTGTCAACACAGCAAACAGGCGCCAGTCTCTCTGTCTTTTCAGTGGAGGTAACATCTTGCTTGAGACTCTCTTCAACTAAATGCTTTTTTTCTGTGTTTGCAAGCAAATTATTGGTCATTTTGAAATTTATTTTACATATTGACAATATTTAATGCAGTGCAGTGTTGATTTAAATTAAATAATCTTGAATTACACCAAGTGAACTAAAATTTTATGGGTGAAATGGTGCCATGGGGTGACTTCTCTTCCACCCCAATGGCTTCTATTCTCCCTTCTCCTCCAACCCCATTCTAATTCCCATCATCATCCAAGAGCCTTCTACATACACACCTCAAAGTAAGTGTACTTTTCTACCTTTTTTGTTGAATTTAGGCAGTTTTCGGTGAGCTGGAACCAATTACCCAAAAACCCATTGAAACAATGGTTTCGGTTAACGAGCAACCTTCTAGAACAGATTGTGCTCATTAACCGAGGGACCACTGTATTAAGAATACCGACTTGGACAATTTTATTTATCATCGATTTTCATGATTTTTATATACAGTATGTTATGTATATCTACATATACAGTACAGTATTGATTATATCCAAGATTCAAGCATTTTGGGTGGAATTTTGTATTTTTTTTATTTTTTTTTTATAAATTAAAATTTAAAGAAATTTCATTTTGATATTTCTCTGCCATCCCATGATTTTTTTTAATTACTTATGATAGTTAACAATATAATTAATGAATTGTTGGAATTAAATTTTTTTTTATTTAGAAAATTATTATTATTATTTATAATACAGTATATTCAACCTCTCTTAATCTATTTTTTTTTAATGGCGAAAAAGTACTACTACCAACAAATTCTTCGTATTTCTTTGCCCATTCAAATGAGATATTATTTTTTAAAACTGGCCCATAAATAGTGGATAAATTTCTGAAAATGCTATAAAAAACCTATTTTGGGTAAGCACGCTGGAGCCATGAGCTGCGGCATACATCTGACCACTTCGACAGTCGAGAGCGTACTAACTTCCCTTATTTGAATGCTAGTCCAGCACCTCCATCCACATCTCAGTAGCATACCAGAAAAATTCCAGATAGTGCCAGAGAAAACAAAAGTAAGTTATTTTTTCTATGAATATTTTACTGGATGTTGTTGATACGTGTCAGAATGACCTTGAGCATGCACGTGAGTGGGGGGCATTTAACTGTCCATTTAATTGCCAAATCTCTGGAAATAACTTTGATATTGTGGGAGTGGCTACTGGAAGGGTGCAAAAAGCTTTGAGAATTTTTAAATATTTTTCGACCATCTCGCCTCATTTGGTCTCCTTAAGTGTCAGTAGTTTTTTAATGTAATATTGGTTTTCATATGGTAAGCCCAGCAACAGAGGATTACATAGCATGTGTGTATGCATGCACATAACCACAAAGGCATTAAAAAAACATTCATTTTCTGTAAGTTCGATCCCCCCTTATGTTTGACAATAAACAAATTGGCTTTGGTCTAAACATTCAAATTAGTTTAACTAAAATATACAGGTGTAGTTACTTCAATTCCTGTCCTTCATCTGAACAGATAATAGTGTTACTTTTATACACTGTATAAGAAGTTTGAACGATTGAATCCTAAGCTGATGGGATGAAGTACTTAATATTGACCTTATAATGTCCCAATATCCTTTGCATATGGCATCAAAGTCCCTGAAGTTGGTCAAATTTCAAAATATCCTCTGGGACTTACAACACCCACCCCCCCCTCCCTGAACCCCCAGCTGTATAGTCTTGCTGCATTTGTCCCCTGGCTACACCACTAGTGTGCCCCCTTGCTATTTTAGCTAGGACTATGCCAATGTATATAATCTCAACACTACAAGATAATTCTTTTCCAAATACAATAATAAAAATCACGAAACCTCTCAGGGACCTCAGTATCATTGGTGCTGTGAGAGCAATTTAGTTTTCAAATAAATATCCCATAAAATCTTGAGTTACAACCCAAGAAGTGATCCTGTACGAGGACAACACAAGGGCAACCTTCATGTCCTTATGAATCATGAATTTTCTTTTCGCAGCTAAGACACTTTATTACACAGATAATGGGAAAAATGATTTGCACTTTTACCAAAGTGTTCAGATAATTTAACTGAAATACTGTAATTATACATATTGTTTACAGTTTTTAAATATCATACCATTATTACTCTTGACAATCATGAATATACTCGAGTAGAGATGTATTTATGATAGTACTGTACCGGTACAGTACAGTAGACTCTCACCAACTGCGATTTTGCACTTTCTGTATCAGTGATTGTGTTTGCATGTAACAGTAAATAAAGAAAAGAAAAAGATTAAAATTACGTATATTTATCTGAAAATACGAGTTGAAAAACAACAACGCAGCTTGGCCTGGTAGGGTGAGAACTAGGGGATATAACTACAAGGACATGCCA